TCAATCAACACAAATATCCAATAAGAATCTTAAGAACTATTTAAACAATAATAAGGTCAGCAGTACAGCACCCACCACAATATTTAGTCACTGAACTTTCATTTAACCTTTTGGCGGTCGAAGTTGAATTGACAACCACTTTGATGGTGCTGTTGCAGATTCACGGAGTTTCACACGATGTACATTGACTCGGAATTTCTTAGAAAGTTCTGACATCAACTACTTTCATATGCTAAAAGTTCCAAAAAGAGACTAGTGCTTTTACTTTTTGGACAGACAAAAAGTTTAAAACAGAATAAAATGACGAAAGTATTTATGACAAATATAGCCTATCCCACTGAATCAATACGTTGAACAATCCTTGCATCATATGCACCTAACTGATTTCAAGTAATGAAACATTATTTACCTCAAACTGTCGTTTCATAAAAAAATATTTCAAGGAGTGAATTTATTAGTAATGAAACAACAAAAACCAGCTGTCAATCTACTAAAAGTGTATTTAGTGTAATGAACTCATTACTTGGGGAAAAAAAATCTGTTCTAACAAAGATTATTTGGAATTAGAAGTAAACAGTGGGTACAAAGAAACTGATGGTTTATGAAACAACAAAGAGGAGGAAAGGTAGAGAATTTCACTCAATTGAAATGGTGTTACATGGCTCCTTCATATAGCCATACTTCCATACTTTTCAAAATATCTTTCTACCAACTATACTACCTACTACAACTCAAACCTTATTTGACTAATCATCTAGACAACATGTAGTACCAACTAAACATAACTTAAGCTATCATAAGTTACAAAGTATATGTCAAGCTAATGATAACAAAATGGTTTGACAACAAAAGTGTCACCTTTGACACGGTTCATCACTCCTCCTTCACACTTTTGTTGGAAATACCAAGATATTTTCTTAATTTTTCAAATCTTTCCTTTGGCAATGCTTTGGTAAAAAAAAGTGTCACATTTGACACGGTTCATCACTCCTCCTTCACACTTTTGTTGGAAATACCAAGATATTTTCTTAATTTTTCAAATCTTTCCTTTGGCAATGCTTTGGTAAAAATATCAGCAACTTGTTCTTGAGAACTGTGGTGCTTGAGTTCTATCTCCTTCCTTTCTTGAGCTTCCCTAATGAAGTGACACTGGATATTTATGTGCTTTGTCTTTCCATGGAACACTGGATTCTTCACAATTGCTATAGCTGATTGGTTGTCACAAAGAATGCTAGTTGCCTCAGATTGCTAGTGCTTCAGATCATTCAAAATTTTTCTCAGCCAAATTGCTTGATTAGTTGCCTCAGTTGCTCAATGAAGATCTCCTCATTCAGATGGCCATTCAAGAAGGTAGATTTTACATTCAACTGTAGTGTGTTCCATTTTGATTGAGCAGCCATTGCAAATAACAATCTTATTGTTTCAAGTTTGGCAACAGGAGCAAATGTATCAGTAAAATTAATTCCATATTGCTGAACATAGCCTTTTACAACTAGCCTAGCCTTGAGCTTATTGATTAAGCCATCAGCATTCAACTTTGTCCCGAATACCCACTTAACTCCTATGACATTCTTGTTTCTTGGCCCGTCAACAAGCAGCCAAGTCTCATTCTTTTCAATTATCATAAGCTCGTCCTTCATGGCTTCTATCCACTCCTTAGAACATGCAGCTTCATTATAGTTTGCAGGCTCCTAAATTGCAGAATTACAAGTAGCATAAATATCCTGAAGTGATCTTGTTCTCAACACTTCATTTTCTGAATCTGATTCACCTTCAGGTTCAGATTCATCTTCCATTTCTTCTTCATCATTACTAGCATCTTCAGTTTGTGAACTCAATCTTGGTGTCTCAGATTTATTCACAGCATTTGATTCCCAATTCCATGAAGAACTTTCATCAATCTCGACATCTCTGTTGAAAACAACCTTGTTGGTTTGAGAATTATAAACTCTATAACTCTTAGCATTCTCACAATAGCCAACTAGAACTCCTACTTCAGCTTTCTGACTTAACTTGTTTCTCTTCACTTCAGGTATATGCATATAGCACACCCTTCCAAACACTTTCAGATGTAAAACGTTTAGCTTAACTCCATACCAAGCCTCATAGGGTGTTTTCTTGTTTAAGGCTTTTGTTGGTAGTCTATTAAGAAGGTATATGGCTGTGTTCATAGCTTAAGCCCAAAACTCCTTTGGCACCTTCTTCTCCAACATCAGACATCTGGCCATCTCCATACCTGTTCTATTCTTCCTTTCACAAACTCCATTTTGCTGAGGTGAATAGGGAATAGTTAGCTGATGCTTGATTTTAACTTCATCACAGAATCTGTCAAACTGGCTTCAAGTATATTCAGTGCCATTCTGTTATCTGTCCTTATGGCTTTGATCTTGCAGTAATTTTCATTCTCTACAAAGCTTTTAAATTTCTGAAAGACTGCTGCAACTTCAGACTTCATTTTCAGAAAATAAACAACACATCCTTGTTAGATCATCTATAAAGAGAACAAAGTATCTGCTGTCACTTAAAGTTGGTGTTCTTATTGGACCACGCACATCAGAATGGACTAATTCTAGTTTACTTGAAGCTCTTCTTGATTGATTTTTAGGAAATGGCAACCTGATTTGCTTTTCCAAACATCACACACACAAGCATCATTATTTACTTTTGGCATATTCTCCACAAGTTCTAGTTCATTCAGGTGCCTGAATGAAGTGTAATTTGCATGTCCAAAACGTTTGTGCCACATAGAAGATTCAATCAAAGTGCTGGCAAAGGCATGTGAGTTAACATTCTTCTATTCCAAAAGAAAACTCCTATGCCTCATTTCTACTGTCATCAACTCCAAATTATTTTGCTCCAAAATTGTGCAACTACTATTCTTAAATATTAAGGTATAGCTCCTCAATTAATTGGCCAACACTTATCAGATTTTGGTCAATATTTGGAACATACAAAACATCAAAAATGAATTTAATACTTGATGGTGTCTGAACTGAAACATTGCCAATGCCTTTCACTTCATTCAACATACTCCCCATTTCCTACTTTTACTTTTGATCTTTAGCCATCATTCATCTCCACAAAGACATCTGAGTTTGAAGTCATATGATGAGTGCAACCACTGTCAAGCAACCAGGTTTCAACCTTGCTGGTAGCTGTGAAGTTTAAGGCAGAGAACAGATGCTCTTCTAAGTGATCTTCTGCTACTTTGGCCTGCTACACCTCCTTCTTCTCTTTTTGGTTTTTGCAAACCTTTTCCACATGTCCAAATTATTTACAAGACCTGCCTTGGACTCCCGGTCTAACCCACCACCATTTAGGTGAATGGCCTTTCCTTTTGCAATGTAGACAAGGAGGATACTTAGTATCCTTTCCAGAACCTTTAACAGCTTCCTTTTGCACGTTTTGTGGCTTCTTTCCACCAAAACGTGTTTGAGTTCTCTGCTTTCCTTAAGCAAACAGAGCACCGTCAATTTGTTCTTCTTGCCTGAACAATCTCCTTTGTTCAGTAGCATGAAGGGCAATCACAAGTTCAGCTAAAGAGATGGTAGCCAAGTCTCTTGCATCTTCAAGTGAAGAAATCTTTGATTCAAACTTCTCTGGCAGACTGATTAACATCTTCTCCACTACTCTCTTGTCTGGCAAATCATCACTTAACAACCTGATTTGATTCACCACCTTCATCAACCTATCACAGAAATCCTTGACAGATTATGAATCCTTCATTTTTAGAGTTTCAAACTCTCTTATCAGATTCAAGCTGCATTTGCCTAGTTCTCTCACTTCCTTGAAATTCCTCTTTCAGTCTATCTCACGCTTCCTTTGATGTTTCACAAGTGATTATCCTTGTGAATATAGTTATTTGAAATAGCAGACTGAATGCAAGAGAGAGCCTTGAACTTCTTGACAACATCTTCACTGTGTTGTTTGATTTGAGCAACCGTGGGGTTAGGTCTCAATGGTGGAGGTTCAATTCCTGACTCAGTTATTTCCCAAAGGTCATAAGCCTTGAGATAGGCATTCATCTTAGCTGCCCAAAAATTGTAATTTTCTCCATTGAAGGCTGAAGGAAGAGGTGCTGAATATCCACTGGAAGCCATCACTCACATTCACAAGTTTGACTAGTGAATGTTCCTTACTTGTTTTCTCTCAAGAGTTTGCTTAGAATGAAAGGAAAAACGAAGAACGGAGCTTACCGGATTTGCAAAGAGCTTACCGAATTGTACACAACTTACCGGATTTTCAAACACTTACCGATTTTTTGAAGTTACCGGATTTGCAGAAAGCTTACCGAGTTTTACACAACTCACCGGATTTGAAACTTACCGGATTTGCTTTGAACTTACCAGATTTAATAGAGCTTACCTTATTTGCAAAGCCTACCAGTTCTTTTCTTACCAGTTTTGCTATGTTTTTGCACTATTTTACAGCGTTTTTCCAGCCTTTCTAAGATCGATTTTTTGGATCTGATACCATTGATGGTTTATGAAACAACAAAGCGGAGGAAAGATAGAGAATTTCACTCAATTGAAATGGTGTTACACGGCTCCTTCATATAGCCATACTTCCATACTTTCCAAAATATCTTTCTACCAACTATACTACCCACTACAACTCAAACCTTACTTGACTAATCATCTAGAAAACTTGTAGTACCAACTTGCAAAAATATAAAACATAACTTAAGCTATCATAAGTTACAAAATATATGTCAAGCTAATGATAACAAAATGGTTTGACAACAAAAGTGTCACATTTGACACAGTTCATCAGCAACAATAATTTAAACCCAACAAGCAAAGCTAATTCAGTTCAGAGGATACTAACTAATTAAAAAAATCGGCACTTTTACCTTCAAAGTACAAGATTCAAGAGAACTCATCAAGTAAATCTACCATTGATGACAACCAAAACATTTTGAAAAGAAACAAGGATACCATATGAAGGTGCACGGCATTCCCCAACCTAACATAAAAGAAGTTTCAAACCTCATGTATGGATTAGCTGGTAGGCGTGCACGTATTAACACCGTCCTTGCAATCTTTAGTGAGATCATTAAAAGTCTGAATCTGCTTTTTCCCCCTCAAGAACACTTCTGTATCAACAGAGATCCTCATGTAACCATCGAATTCAACTGGATTTCCATTATTGAGTTTTGTCATCTCTGCATACCAATCGCTGTTCTGATCCCAAAGGTCTTTATATTCGTCAAGAAAATGTGTAGAGTATTTATCTTTTAAAGGGTCAAAGAAGGACGTGTCTGGCTCATTTGTTGCAACATACAGGTTCCTCCCATCTTCAACTTTGTCTTGCAAAGTCTCCAGAAGAGCTTCTGGTGATGTATCTCTGTCAAGGTTAGGCCATAGCTCCTTGTTCCTTGCTTTCTCCCCTCTCTCAACATGAACGGCATCAAAATCCCAATTCATTCTCGATGCAATTGCAGATGCCACATCTAACAACCGCCTGGATTTCCATATCATGTGCCACGGTCGTTGAATAACAGATTCTGTCTCGCCTTCACACACTCTGTACCAATAATTATCAGGCTCCACAGAGCCAAACTTCCTCATAATCAAAGTATCCTTCACTCCAGCTAGCTTCATTGGCGTGACCCTAACATCCTCTACAAGATGGAGACTCAATCCATCTTTCTGTTGCCACTGGCTCCAGTCCGACCAGAATTGAGTTTGATCCAGCACTGCGGCTGAATCCTTCAAGTGCTCAAAGTCAAAGTAAAACCTGAAATCTTTACCTTCCTCATCACTACCAGGTGAAGTATAGATTTTAGACAAACAGACACTCAGATCCATAACCAAAGTTCGGTTTAAATACTCTGCTTCACCCAACATACACATGAAACTCCATAAATATTGATGCATGCTCTTGCACCTATCCCCACCACCAGAATAAAGCAAATACTTTCCCTGACTGAAACTAACCTCTGATTCCACCACCGGAAGTGCATCATTCACAGTTTCTCCAACCTCCGGCAGTGCAATAGGATTTCTCTCTATCTTTGCCGGCACCTTCTCAAATCCTTCCTTGTCCTTGTCCTTTCCCTTTCTCTTTCTCTTCCTGGCATTCCCACCTGAATGATAATCCCCAATGCTGACAACACTAAGTGTACAATTTTCTAATCTCACTATTGAAAAACTCCTATAATCTTTATAAAATGCAGCAGCCTTCCCCTCCTTTGGCCTAAACCTCCAAGCCATATGACAAGAACTATCATTATTCCCACTAACCGGCTTCCCAAACCGGTAAAAGTGCATGTCCTTAAACTTCTCGATAGCTGCTCTCATTAACAAATGAAACACTTCGGGATCCCGACAATTAATGGGTTCATCAACTTTCCCACTACAATCTTGGGTCTCAGCAACATTTGACTCCTCAATTTCAGCTCCCACAACTGCATTATCCACATCGGTGATGTTAATAAAGGTGGCAAAGGCAGTCTGATTCGACGCCACAAAATCCTCACCAGTCTTGACTACAGAGTCGTCAGATTTAAAGGTGGCATTCGAATTGGATGTGAGGAATGTCGTAATTTTCGTTGAAGGGTGAAACAATGGGTCTTCGGGCTCGTAAGTCGCAGCAATTATAGTGAAGATCAAAACCCCAATAACAAAGAATGTGAAACAGAGATTCCCTATCATTGCTAGTGCATTTTGACCCAGATGTTCAGGCATAAAAGTTCCATTCCGAGATAGCAAAATCGACGATCGACCAAGCATTTCTCTAACCTTATAATCCCCAAAACTGATAAGAAAAACTAAAATTTTCAGCCAAGAAAAAAACACCTGGAGAATATACAAAACAATAAATCAGCAAAGTGGGCTTCAGAATGAGAGTTCCAGTGCTTGAATTGATTAAAGGCTATACAAAAACTGAGAGAAATCAAGAAACAACAATTGGGTATTACAGATCTGGCGTAAATTAACAAAGCTGAGCTAAGCTAAGCTAAGCTACGAATACAAAGATCTGTATCTATAGATTTGTGTTTCTTACCTCAATGCATTGAGAGCTTCATAATAAAAAATTAATTCGCCACTATTTTTTCTGAATTTCTTTCTCAATACGTAGCGGACTGTGAGCTTGTTTACTGTAAATTTTAGACTTGACTAGGAAGGCAATGATTGAACTGGTCGTCGCTAAACTGAGAGGGTAGCCAAAAGGTTAATTAGGGCGCGTTTGGCTGATGATTATTGGGGGCCATTTATAAACTTGAGTGTGTTTGGTGGAGATTAAGACTTTATTTGAACTACATTATTTTGAAAGAATATATT